AAAGGCCCACATCTGATATTAACCTAAACTTCCTTGATTCCTTAAAGTGGGTTATTCATTAACAGAAGTTAAATGACTGGTTGTTAGGCAAATCTTGTAATTCTTTCCAACACTGATTTGCTCAGAAAAGCTTCTGTAAATCTCCCGTAGAAATAAGCAAAGCTCTGTGCCAATTGTTAGCTCTATGCAGAAGTTTGGGAGAGGGAGGAGAAGTTACTCATTTGCCTGATTCCGCACGGTGAGTCCAGGGGAGAAGCCAGTGTTCCGCAGCCTTGACAAGCAGCACAGGGCAGCTCGGCTGCAGCCACCAGGACCGGACGGGACAGGAGCTACCGGGCTGCATCTGAGCGTGGTGGTCCCGGGGTCCAGACGAACTGCTCTACAGATGAGGCGTTTGCCTTCTCTTCCCTATGATGGCCAGAGTGTCCTGTGCTAAGAGGTATGGCTATCCTCTTTCCTGTCCTTTCGTTCAGCAAAAACAAAAGCTAATTAAAGTAAATGCCAGAAGCTTCAGTGAGACAGGGGTGGGCTGCCGGAGCTGGGCAGGGAAACTCCCAGGGGCTGGCTGCTTATGCAGATAAAGCGCACTGGGACTTGTGTGTCTCTGTATGCGTGCTTTCCAGTTCTATGGGTAAAAAAGCCACCTCTCTGTGGGTTATTAATAACATGTCTCTAGGCCTCAAGAGCCGAACACTGTGCCTCTTTGTGCAGTTTTGTTTTACTCCATAATAGTGCAGGCGCGTTTCTATTTCATACTTTTGTTAACCTGCAGAAACATTTTGCAACCTGCAAAGAGGCTGACCCTGCCTATGGCTTTCAACGAAAATTCAGTAGCATCATGACAGCCACTGAGCAGGGCAGTCACCATTACTGATTGTTGTTGCTGTCACTTTTCCCACTGATATTTAGGATATCTTAGAAATCATCATCAAATCTAACCACTCTTTTGTTCTTTTAAATATGTATTTTGTTTGTTCAAATTGCGATAGTAATCGATCATTGGATTTCATGACACTTACAAATGTTTTCAATGTAAAGAACAGAAAAAAAACACTTAAGGCATTGTTGGAATTGGGCATGCAGTTATTTGATATATGCAATTTAAGTGTAAATAAAGATACATTTAAACTTGAATTTTCCCTGTAATTTGAGAGTTGGGGTATGCTTTCTGGAAAAATAAACCTACAAAATTTGAATTAAAAGTTTTAACAAGATGCATATCAATTCCAGAACAAATATGACCTGCAAAGTTCAACTTCACTGGTGAAAGTGGAGATACTATGACATTATGATGACAGATCACACATTCTTGGTTTAGAAAGTTGGTTAGCCTTGAAGATGTTTCCCTCATTCCCCATGAAGAAAAATGTTTCCTATCTATTTCTGTTTCAGCAAGTTGCAATACATATTCCAATTTAAATACGGTTTTTGAGCTCTTGCCTATTTTTTGTGTGCTTATGGTGGCAAGCCTCTTACAAGCTTAGAACTATATGAGTCCTAGCAACAAGCCAAGGACAGTTCTTTAGCATCAGGTGGAATACCCCAGCCTCTGCTTTACACTGCAGTGCAAGGGAAGTGTAGCAACATGTAGTGGCAGCGGAACCCAAGAGCCGCCCAGGGAACAATGGACATCTTGTGGGAAGGGCTGAAAGTATGCGGCCAATTCCCATGGGAACGCCTGCAGTGCTTTCACACTGTGTGAAAAAGATGCTCCTTGAAAAGAATCTGTAATCCTTTCTTTCAAGGGAAAATCTATCTGAGAACGTTATCGAAAGTTTCCAGAACCCAAGTGGGTCTATGCTAATCAGTGGGGATTTTTAATAAAATGAGATTTTTTTAATGCACAATGGTGTCCAAGGCATAGTGTGAATAAATATTGTTATGCTAGAAGCGAAGACACCAGGGAACATCTGAATCTGGGGATGGATGCTAGAGGTTAATTTCTTCAGAATAAATTGGCTTCCTGAGTTTTCCTATATTTCCATTTAGCAGAATCTACTCGTGTAAGCCAGCAATGTTTTATTAGCATCCATTGAGTGTAGGTCACTTTGAAAAGTCATAAAGAACATTCTCTCTGCTGTCCTGAAGGGAATTTTACACTCCCTCCTCACTGTGACTGTTTGGCATAGTGCCACAGTAAGGCTTTCTCTCCAGGGAACAAGGTAAGTTTGCAAAAAACTAAAACAATAGGGACACATTCAAGATAGTTCATGATGTACCCAGATTGAAGATCAAGGGAGAATGCAAGTAGGATGTAAATACGGCACAAATGGGAACACCCGGGCACCTTTAAGATGGTACACTCGATGTTAGGTATCTGCACAGTGGTATATTAGTTTTTAAGAGGGATGGCATGGGGACAAGTTAACAGAAGAATGGCCTATAAGGATAATATTTTTAAGGATATAATTGCTGTCACTTCTTGTATGGTTGCTCTCTGCCAAGGTTTGTGTTAAATGCTTTATGTAATCTCATTAAACCGCCCAACAACCCATGCAGATAAGAAACCTGAGGCTTGGGGAGATTAATTAATCTGCCCAGGTTTACACTGCAGGCAATGGCATAGCCGAGCTCAATTGTATCCAGGTTCCCACTTCTCACTGGGGTTCCATAGTGTCCAAGTCTGGACCCTAGACTCTTTTAAAAATGTAAGAAAATTGGATGAAATCTAGTGATAAGAACTATTAGAAATGAAAAGGGTGAAAAAGAATGAATGCTAAAGAAATAGAGATTATCCATGAAAGGAAGAGATGTTAACACTATCTTTAAGCCAGTGGTCGGCAAACTGCGGCTCGCGAGCCACATGCAGTTCTTTGGCCCCTTGAGTGTGGCCACGAAGTTTCAATGGCACTGTACGTGCACACCCGCACGTGATATTTTGTGGAAGAGCCACACTCAAGGGGCTGCAGTTTGCCGACCACTGCTTTAAGCCAGAAAGAATTACTAATAAAAGAATACACCTACTCACAGATGGCCAGATTCTCCATTTTTATAAAAGAAATTCTTTGAGGGGACATTTCTCTGTGTTGATGTCATAAAAATATAATTGATCACCAATTTTCTAGGAAGCTGTATGAGGTCTGGAGCCTATGGCCTGGCTTAATGGCAGGTATGCGGCCATCTGACCAGACACCTTTGCTGGGTAGCACTCTGAGAAGATAGCCACAATGCCCACATCTTATTGATCACACAGATGAATCTATCTACAGCACAGCTGCCCTTACACTTTACCAGCAGATAGGTGATTTGATGGGTAGCAGACTTACTATAGGAACAGGCAAAATGGGGGTAGAGAATTATACAGTTTAAAACACTTTCAGAAAATGCAGTTAATCATTGAAACAATAAAAGAGGGTTGTGGTACCTTTTTCTCCTCTGGAGTATCAATACGTCAAGCAGGATAAACATTTTTCCTGCAATATTTAAAATACAAATTGATATATCTGGTCCAAATGGATTTTTATGAAGAATCTTCCAACAAATAAAGTGGGGGGAAGAGGGTACAGTAAGTCCTCACTTATGGTCATGGATAGATTCTTGGAAACAGCAACTTTCAGCAAAATGAGGTATAACAAAACCAATTTCACCATGGGCTAATTGTTATACACAGGGTTAAGTTCCTATGGCATAGATCTGGTCACAAAAACATACCAAGCTTTGAAATAAAGACCCAGAACACTTCTAATAATAAACATTGAAATAAATGTGAGCTACACATACATTTAAGAAAGATTAATAAAAACAAGTCAGATCATTATTTTCCAAATCGTTTGTTCCAGTTCAGGGTCCCCATGGCAGCAGCCCCTCCCAGCAGATCAGCATGCAAGGCAGGAGGCAGCCTGGACAGATGCCCTTCCACTGGGGGGCGCACTCACACACACACAGACTCAGTCTAGGTAGGACAATGTAGACAAGCCCATTCACCTCATGTGCACATTTTCCTGTGGGAGAAAACCCACATGGACTGGGGAGAACTTGCATATTTCACACAGACAGTGGCCTCCCCGGCTGGGATTTGAATTCCTTAGTAATCAATATTGTAACAAAACGGATGTTGAAAGAAAGGACATTATTCGAGAACCTGCTGTGTGCATTTTTGTGGAGTAAGTTTGTTCCGCTTATTTGCAACTTCCTGCATTCTTAAACTTCCAACAGTATTAATCTAGAGCAGCAGTATTAGTCTCCCCGTGCGCCGCAAGAATTTTTAAAACATGCAATGCCAAGGGCACTGACCTCTTTTCCCTTAGATCAATGGTTCTCAACCTTCCTAATGCCGCGACCCTTTAATGCAGTTCCTCATGTTGTGGTGACCCCCAATTTCATTGTTACAAATTGAACATAATTAAAGCATAGTGATTAATCACAAAAACAATATGTAATTATATATGTGTTTTCCGATGGTCTTAGGCAACCCCTGTGAAAGGGTCGTTTGACCCCCAAAGGGGTCTCGACCCATAGGTTGAGAACCGCTGCCTTAGATGGTCAGGTTTAAAAAAAAAAATTGACAACAGCCAGCACAACAATAGCCATCTGGTGTGAATGAATCAAAATTATACCTATTTTTTTTTTTTAGTCAGATCAGCAAAAAAATATATTTTTTTGGTGTGCTGCAGAATTCCAATAATTAGTTTGTGTTGCCATGAAATGGAAAAGGGTGAAAATCGCTGCTCTAGAGGCAGAACAAGAGGATGGCTTCTTCAGGAGCTGTGGCTCCTACAGGACAAACGCTCAGTGTTTCCAACTCTGAGTGTGAAATCTCCAGAGGGAGGGAGGTGTTAATTAAGTTACAGCTCTTTCTTCCCCGGGCTTTGTGAAAGGGCTCCCCATAGCCATTCCAGTCACCTGCTTGAGTTCCTGTTGAAACCATGTTTCCTGCGTGGCTTCTCCCCCCAGTACCCCCCATTCTTCCCCGGGAAAGTATAGATTTTCACGAACACAGGGAGTTTTGTTTTCTCTGTTAAAAACAAGTCTACTGGAGCAGGCTTTATGTTTCGCCCCAGGAAACAGCATTTCGCTCAGAGGCAGCTCTCTCTGTCCACTGGGTGAGGTCCAGCCTGTCACCTGACCTGCTCTGGAGCTGCTGCCGGTGGCATCTGGCTGCATTCCTGGGATTCTTTCACCAGGCACTGGCACCGCAATGAACAGCTTCAGGTTCACTGCGCTGAGTGGATTCCGCTCGCTGTGCCCTGGGAGTCCGCTGCCTGAACCCTCCTGCCCAAACCAACAGCTAAGTAAGAGCAAGCGCGCCTTGGGGAGTAGCATGCAGGTAAACTGAGTTTGCGGGGAGAGCTGGGACTCCCGGACGTGTGTCATGCTGGGTGCAGAATCATTTCTCTTTTTGTGGTGTCTATTTCTCCTTACAGAAACCTGACTTGTCAACCAATACCTGCTTAAAAGTATATACTAAATAATGATAAAGTGGACTACAGATTAGGCTCCCTGAAATGTTAGAAAGAGAAATTGTGAGCGTGAAAGTTGGGAGTAAGAGGGAATTTTATAAGCCAGATTTTTTTGTAATTCCAAAAGTGCGAGATTTAGAGGCTGACCTACTTGGACGTGAATCTTGACTCTGGGTAGACCTCGGACAGGATGTTTAATCTCCCCAGTCCTGTTTCCTCTTTGGTAATAATACCGACCTGCATGGTTGATGGGAGAACTAAGAGAAGAAAGTGTCAAGAAAGAGCTTGGTGTATAGAAAGTATCTGATGTGTGCCTATATGTGCATGTGTGCGCACATGTGTGTGCTTGCGTGTGTCTGGTGGGTGCATCTGTATGCATGCGAATAGGCCACCGGGCAGTGCCATTGAGAAGGCTAGTGGGTTTCCCAGAAGATGAGGTGGAACTTGATCTGGCTCTGACTTTCTCTGCTGTTGCAAAGAGACCAGACACTTGAGCAAAACATTGACCCGAGCTGCTGAAAAATAAATAACGTGTTTGCTGATCCTTATCCAGGAGAGGATGGTGTAGTGTGGCATGTGGGATGCACTTTAAATGAGGACTGATGGGAAGGGAGGCAGCTGAATAATGATCACACAGGGTCGTGTATACCACTGTACACAGCCCTGAGCGGGCTTTGTCGTGGCCGGCCTAGTGCCTTCCCCCTCGACTCTGCAGCTTACTCTCCATGTGCCCCTGGGCTGGTTATTTTCCTCTCTGAACATCAGTTTCTCATCACATGGAATTGTCATGTGAATGAAGGTACTCGGTTTTTGGGAAGTGCTTGGAGTAGTACCTGACACGTGTATAACACTCGCTAAGCATCAACTGTTGGTGTCATTATTTTACAGCGAACTCTTAAGTGTTAGCAGCTTTGATCTTCAAAATAATCAGATGAGACAGACTAGGCATGTATTAGCCCCATTTTGCAGATCAAGAAACTGAGGCTCAAGGAAGGGAAAAGCATGAGCCAAAAGTCCCATAACCACTGAGTGCCCAGTCTGTGACTTGAACCTCAGATAAGAAGTTGATTTAGTGTGTACTCAGGACACATGCATTGAATGACGCATATTCTAAAAGGTTTGGCTCAAATGCCACTTCCTCCACAAAGCCATTGCTTATCATCTTTCCCTAGGACAGATCTCTCTCTCCCTTGTACTTCCCTAAACGTTTACGGTACACAGCAATCTTTTACTGGGCCATTCCTGCGTTGTAGAATGTTGGGTATAAGTCTCACCCGTCCCTTCCCCTCCCTAGATGTGTGAACGTTTTCATGTGCAGCTGTGTGCTGCACAATAATGTTTGGCACATGATGGACATTCAAGAGTAACAGCTGAAGGTGGGAGCGTGAATGGGGCTCCGCGCCAGCTGTCACTGTGGGTGCTCCTCTCCCCCCACTGGTATTTCTGCTCCTTCTCAGAGCTCCGACTCTGATGTGTGGGGCAGCTGAGTCTGATTCAGTAAATGCCAGATATTGACCAAGAAGCTGACTGGTCAAGGTAAAGTCATTTCCATCCAATGTCTTACTTTCCTGAATATTATTTCTCTGAGACTCTGTCACTATAAATGCCTAAGAAGGGTGGGGGGGAGGGCGCAGACTGTGTTAAGGAGAAAATTCAGGGGGGAAACTGTCCCAATTTTTCTATTTTTTTGTAGATCTTGTAATTCACCTTTCCACATTTGCCAGGGTGCAAACTTCTCTGTAGGACCCTTACCTCTCTTTCTTTATGCCCCTCCCTAAGTCTTCCCTACCACTCTCCTTCATTTCTCTTCCTCTACACTTCTCTTCCTTGTAACTCTCTTGCTCTCTGGTTGGCCTAAACCCCAGAGCACAGATGGGCAGGGATGCAGGGTCAATGCAGGAGAGAAGAAGAGTTCATTTTTTTAAGACTCTACCCATCTCTTCATCCTCAAATGTTACTAATGCTCTGAGGGCCTTTATTGCTAATAGCAGCCTCACAAGGAATCAATATGCCACAATGGTTATGAACTTGGAATTTAGCACTCTGGACCCAAAATCTAGCTCCCCAGTTTACTAGCTGTGTGGCTTGGGCAAGTTATTTAATGCCTTGGGTTCCTCTCCTGCCATATAGTTATTATCAAGGTCATAATCCTCATATAGTTATTATTGAGGTTAAATGAGTTAATGTTTACTTAGCATCTGGAACAGTACCTGGCGCAAAGACAAGCACGTGCAGTATAAATATTGGGTGTCATTTTTCTAAAGCTGGTAGGTAGTGTAAAAGTTGCATGTAGGCAATATTACCCTTGAAATCTCTTCAATGGCCTATGAATTGCATCTTTTGGAATAGCACTGAGAATGTATTTGGCTTGTGTTTAGAGACCATATTGCATAGAAAGTATGTGTCTTTAAACTTTAAAGTTGCATTCAGCACAGAGAGGTGCTCCCACAGTGATAGCTCAGAAGGGATGTCTGAGATGGCCCAGGAAGCAACAGGCTCCCCTAGTCCTTTTCACACTCATTCTGTGAAGCACATGCAGAGTAAAATGACTGGCAGAGTTGCCTATTGCTTATATTAAATGAATCATTGCCAGTTCTTACTCTCTGTGCATGTGGCTGCATTTGTAAGTTACCTGCATATATAAGACGATTCCACTGCAAATCGTGGGGAAAGCCCACCAGCCTGAAATCAGGAAAACAGCACTGGTACAGTTACCATGGGGCCTTGGTGAAGTCATTAAACCTCCCTGGCCATTAAATAATGGCTAAGATCTCCGCAGTGCAATTGGTCGGTGATTTTATGAGGCCCAGAAGGGAGCTGATGAGAATAGTCAGGTATTTAATTTGTGCCATTTCCCTACTCTCTTTGGACTGTTAATTGAGTGAGAAGTATAGTGGGACTTTATTATTTCCACTGTGGGAATAGAGGGAGGACTGCCTGATCCCAAAACCCTGCTCCTTCAGCCTGCAGTGAAATGTTATCTTCAAGTTCAATGCTCAAGTTCATGCTCACATTCTGTCCAGATTTATCTGGCCACACACTCCTAGGAAGAGTCCTTTATTTCACTGCTGCTTGTTCAGGGAGGGTATAAGAATAGGGCAAGTACTGAGGTCATCTTCTGGACTGAGGGTTGGGGCAGCTTCTACGATTAATATAGCAGAGATGCCCAGACAAGAGGGTAAGTATTGGTTTCCATGTCCAGGAAAAGAGAGGAAACCAGGCAGTGGGTCTATGTTCTTCCCTTCCTTGCCTTGCCCTTTTCTGTTTGGTTTCCATGGGAATCTGTTTGTGGGAAATCCGGCAAGTGTTGGGCATCTTTGTTGCTTATCCACTTGTTTCCCTGTGGCATGGGGGAAAAAGGAGAAGTACCGTACATAGAAAGGAAAAAATAAATGTGGCATTTATGTTGCTTTTTACGGCTCAAATTAAATTCTGGATAAAGCTAATAATTTTTCCAGGACTTTTGAGACAAAAAAAATAAGGAACTATCATATGAAGGTATCAAGCCGGAATCTGTTACTCTATGCCAGTGGTTTTCAACCCGTGTGCCACAATAACTTTTAAAACACTCAATACCTGGCTCATTAGTCAGGGGCACTGACCTCTTTTCCCTCAGATTGTCAAAGAAAACAAAATGACAACAGCCAACATAACAATAGCCGTCCATTGTGAATGAATCAAAATTATACCTATTTTTTGTAAGATCAGAAAAAAATGCATTTTTTCGGTGTGCTGCAGAATTTTAGTAGCTAGTCTATGCGTGCCACAAGATACAAAAGGTTGAAAATCACTTCTCTATGCACATTTCCAAAGGGTTTTTTTTCCCCTTCTCTGGGCACCAAGTTCACATTCTGAGGTCATGTTTTTCAACTAATGGCTACATTGGGTCATTTGTTTCTCTTGCAGAGAGTGTCAAAGAAGACCTCAACGTCTGGAGAAAAATGATCTTTCAAGGAATACAAAGCATACCTCCTGCTACATGTTTTTGCCTTACTAACCTCTGATATCCGGACGCATGGCCCTGGGCCTACACAAAGTCCATTGACCATCAGACTCCTCACCATGCATCACCTGTTCAGACTGGTCTTGGGACAAAAAGATCTTTCCCGAGCCGGGGACCTCTTCTCCTTGGATGACTCTGAGATTGAAGACAGCCTGACAGAAGCTTTGGAGCAAATTAAAATCATTAGCTCATCTTCAGTAAGTACACTCATTCTCAGACTAGACCTCCCTTCAGACTAGAAACGATCTATTCTAGGGCCAACGAATTGAATCAGTCCTAGGGGGAAGGATCTTTGTGGGGAAAAGAGGAAGGATCATGAATATGGGTCTCTCTTGACTCTGCGCTGTGGTTTCGTTGGCATCTAAGAAACAACACCAGCAAAGCCATGGACTTGGGGGCAGCCAGGCCGCCTTTGCCCACTCAGGGAGACCAGAACTCCGGGAATTGCAGACCAAAGTGGAATTCTCACAAAGGGTTTTTCTAAGGGTTATTTCTATATCCTTGGAATGACATGAAGAGGAGAGGGAGCAAATCCAGGGAAAAGCAGACCTGCCAAGCTGCACACCAGCGTTAGTAAACAAAGCAGGTGTGCGGAGGAGGCTGAATAATGGAAGAAGGCAGATGACACCTCCTGCCATGCAGGTAATCTGAGACAAGGACAACCATCACTCTGCTGTCAGAAGTGACAGTTGCCCAGGGCTTGATAACACTGATTCTCTTTGCTTCTATGTCATCTCGGGTTTGGTTGTTTTCTTTTCCTTTGCTCCTTTTTCTACATCCCCCTACCCCCAGCATTTAGTTCGCCTCCCTAATTATTAGCCCCCAGTGTGATCAGGCAAGTTTACACTTTCCATCACCCCTCCCATTCCTTTGTTTCTCCTGGATGTCAAGATGATATATTCTGAAAGTACTTCCCCAAGGGGGTGGGTGCGGAGTGCCTGGTGTGCTTTGATCTTGACCTTCCTGATCATACTTGGACCCTTCATGAGCCTGGTCCCATTTCAAAGGCCACGGCCACCAAGCGTCCTCTCGCACAGCCTCCCAGCTCAACAGCCTTTGCCAACACGTGGCATAAACACCCACGGGGCAGAGCAAAGAGACAGGACTCGAGCCACAAAATACCGAATTAGCAAATGTGTACACACTTCAGAAATAAACGCTCTCTTCCATGTTACAAAGAAGAAATGTTTGAAGGCCGTGCTAGCAACCAGTTCAGTTTCCTCCTCGAGCTGTCAACATGTTCTCTTGCTGGTGGCCATTAACATGCCACTCTCCCCCGGTGACCAGTGAAGTCACCACCCAAGCACGCGTCCTTTCTCAGGTAATGCCTTTGACAGCAATTATGTGTCCACATTTTTTTCCAGAACATTAATCAACTTAGTCTGGCTCAAAACACAAAGTATTCCTGATACATTTCCACTTTCTGGGCAAGATTTATGTGCTATTGCCAGCAGCCCCATTCATCACACTCCTCTGGAAATAAATTGGGTGAATATGCCACTGATTTTCATCCAATCTAATATATATATTTTCTAACAAATATTGTCTTATTTATAATATCTATTGGACATAATAAATACATGGTATATATCGACATTCCCTGAAACCCATTTCCACATTTCCACTAGAGGCCACTGGTATGGGGGTTTGTTGTTGTTGTTTCCTTCACCAATTGCGTTGTCTCACGGATATTAAATTCATAATCTTAGGACTGTGAGCTCTGCCTGTCATGTGTCCCACTGTCCATTCTTTCAGCCCTCCAGTCAGCATCCCACCAGACCCACAAGTCTACAAGTCAGTAGTTCTCCTGTGTTCTTCATCTACTAACTTATTTCATATCTCACTTCTTCCTTGCCTCTATTTGTAACCATGGCATAGAGCAGATGGGTGGCAGAATAATAATAATCATTTTTCAGAGGAATCATGGAGGTCAATCCAATTTTTAAATTCAACAATCACTCAGATAAACCCAATATTTAAATTTCCTAATCAATCCTAGTTATAAATATATCTATTAGTGGAATTCCTTCTCCCTTTCTGCTCCTTTAAAAGCCAGTTCTGGTTTCATTATTCCTTTAATGATTTCTAGTGACTCTAGTTCTTAGTGATTACTTCCTTCTAAAAAGACATAATTGCCCCTTTGCATTATACATTGTCCTCACAGAAAATCATCTACTCATATAACCTCAAGTGCAATCTCTACATGAGGGGATCCCAAATCTATGTTTTTTAGTCTTGACAGTTCTCCCTAAGCTTCAAGCTCATAGTAATTAATATTCAGGACCTCAAAATCAATATGTCTTAATCTGAAGTTATCATCTTTCATTTTTCTAAATCTCCAGGTTTTAAACCTGGAGTCTCTCCTGACCCCTTTCTCTCACGCTCCTCTTGCCCTGTGAGTTCTGCAGAAACTGCCATAGAAATGCCTCCTCATCTGCTCCTTTTTTTCCCTTCCTGCTGCTGTCACCCTGGCTCAGGCCTTCAAAACAACAACTGACCACCCCCTACCCTTGGTCCTGCCTTTCTCTAGTTCATTCTACCAACAACTACCAGATCAAACTGCCTAGTCCAAAACCCATCCATGATGCCTCAATGCCCATGACATTCTATGACCAATGCCAGTGATCAGTCCACTGAACCACCATACCTACTCTATGGCTCACTTCACCGTTAGCTGCATCCCCTCCTTCCTTTATGATCAGGTCTTTCCTAATGACTCTGGGTCTCCGTAATCAATTCCACTTCTCAATTTCTTGTTAGAAGCATAGAACTAGAAGGGACCTTCTAAATCATCATTTCCAACTTCCTTCTAGCACGAGGGTTTCTTCTCTAGGATTCCTAACAAATAGGTGGCCTTTCCTTCTGCACTTGCAAAGATGAGGACATAGTAGGTTTCTGATATTTTTCCTGCTTCTCAATCTTCCTTTCATAAATTTCCCTTTTCCATTGCATGCCGCCTTGATGGGGCTTTCGGTGAACATTCCCTACCTTGCCTTTGCCGAGGACGAGGGAGAAAAGAAGTGGGGACATCTGACCCAAGCTATAACAATTAGAATTTCTTTCCCAGTAATTCTAGGGGGGAAATCAGCACAGGGTGATTTATCATGATGATGGTGCCCTCAAGAAACAGCTTTTTGGTTCCTGCTCCTCCATCACCCTTCCAAGGCCAGATAGTGCAGCTTTTTCTTCAAATCTGTGAGCCACCTTATATCTCATTATTATTTTACTACAGCTATCTAGACTTTTTCTGTTGCTTATGACCACGGAATCCTAACTGACAAAAAGATAGCTGTTTACTGTTCAAATGGTTAGTGTGTTTCTCCTTTCAGCCAGATGAAATCTTATTCTCTGTTTTTTTTCTATCAATTGTGCTTCCTCCCCACCCCCAACAATCCAAAGGATCTAGTGTGTGCTCCTACAAGAATTTTAAACATCTGAAGATGGGTATCTGTCTCACTTCTGGCTTCTCTCTTCCCAGCTAAACACCCTTAGTGCCCTCATGTTTTTCTATGACAAGGAAAGGGCAGGCCTATGACAGGGAAAGGTTACATCACCTCATATTTCCAGTCTCAGGTCTGGAAACTCAATTTTGTCAGTACATGAGAAATGCTGTCCAAATCATGCTATCCAAATGCAAGGCTCAGAAGTATAAATTAGAATGCTGACTTACTGATTTTCGATGTAAAATAAAACTCATGTGAGTTAGAATTCTTGCGTGCTCCATGCTGTTCTCTCCTAGTCTATTCACCCAATCTTTCACTGGATAAGAAATGTTATTATTGATTAGATTTCTTCCTCTGTTATAATTACATTTTAGTTCTACCTTCCTGAGATTATATTTCACTCACCTGTGAAGTCACCCGGGTGCATAGAGCATCTTGGGTTAGCCCAATAGCTGGCTAATTCCACTTAAATGAATGGATTTTGCTGTTGTTGTTTAATGCTCAAAGGACAATCCTGTTTTCAAATTCTTGGAGGATACCTCATTGTAGCTCCCAAGTACTGCCTGACTTTTCAACATTCTGGTTACCCTCCGCTGGAATCTTCCTATTTTGTTAATATAATGTATCATTGTCCAGTATTTGAACCAATTGCTTAGAACAATTGCTAATACCAGTCAGACATTCTGTTTCTAAAATTTCTTTTCAATAATAACATCACACGGTTGGCCACATTTATACTGTGATGTGCCAAAATTCTCAGGTTGAATCAAGACTTGTAATTGGATAATGTGAAAACAAAATTTAAGTGAATTCTGTCAAATTTTAAACCACTGCAATAATATGCTTGTTTTTAGGCCCTTCTTCCAGGATACCCATACCTTTTTAAAACTCATGATTCTGGTCGTGACCAGTTTGGTTCCGTGGATAGAGCGTCGGCCTGTGGACTGGGGGGTCCCAGGTTCGATTCCGGTCGGGGGCATGTGCCTTGGTTGCGGGCACGTCCCCAGTGGGGGGTGTGCGGGAGGCAGCTGATCAATGTTTCTCTCTCATCGATGTTTCTGGCTCTCTATCCCTCTCCCTTCCTCTCTGTAGAAAATCAATAAAATATATTTAAAAAAAAACAAAAACAGAAAAAAACACTCATGATTCTGGCCAATATATTAGTTACATTCCTAGCTTTGTAGATCTGAAAACTCAGTAAGCAAGCCTCCAATCCTTCTTCTAAAGTCACTCACAAGCCCTAGTTGGTTTGTCTCCGTGGATAGAGTTGGCCTGCAGACCAAAGGGTCCCAGGTTTGATTCCGGTCAAGGGCACGTACCTTGGTTGAAGGCTTCTCCCTGGCCTGGGCCCTGATCAGGGCTCGTGCAGGGCTCGTGCAGGAGGCAACCAACTGATGTGTTTCTCTTACATAGATGTTTCTCTCTGTCTTTCCCTCTCACTTCCACTCTCCCTAAAAATCAATGGAGCCCAGCTGGCATGGCTCAGTGGTTGAGCGTTGACCTATGAACCAGGAGGTCATGGTTTGATTCCTGATCAGGGCATATGCCTAGGTTGCGGGATCGATCCCTAATGTGGGGCATGCAGGAAGCAGCCGATCAATGATTCTCTCTCATTGTTCATGTTTCTATCTCTCTCCCCCTCTCTGGAATATATATATATATATATATATATATATCATTGTTGATGTTTCTATCTCTCTCCCCCTCTCTGGAATATATATATATGAAATCAGTGGAAAAATATCCTCTGGTGA